TTATTCAGCAGCCATAACTAACTCCAGTGCTGAGGTGATGCTCTCTCTCCTGTCTCCTCATGCCACTCTCCTTGCCATTCATCATCATCTGCAGCAGAACAGTTTAATCCTCTTTTGAAGTTCGAATCTACTTATCTACCATAGAACTTTTATAGCTACTATTCACTGAAAACTGCCCCTCAACGCCAACTTTGCTTTACTGATTTCCGGCCTACTTGTTAGGACCAAGTGAACCTGTGCGACAATATATCTTACTGAATACCTTGCTATTTTTCAACTTTGAACTTTTGTCCAGTTTCCTCACATTCTTACATTTTTTCTGTGTTCTTTATTTTTGCTGTCACTAGTGTCCGCCAACTTTTTGCTGCCAACAACAGAAGCTGAGTAATCCGTATGAACGGACCCGAATAGAAGAGAATAAGTGAAAACATCATTATCATCCGGAGCCGTCGCAACTAAGCAAGATGGAAGCAGATCAACCGAAGCACTGCGCCTTCATGGGCGCCTCGGTGATGGATCTTATCTCGTAAGTGACACCAACGCTTCAGCGGCAGCACTTCAACACCACTACTTGATGAAGTTTGCTGCCAAGAAAGTTGCTGCTTGATAATTGAGAACCTACCTCTAACTGTTGTCTTCTTCTGCTCTCACCAGATACGTCGATCGTTTTCCCGTTCCCGGCGAAACACTGTCAGGGAATGAATTTCGCAAGGGCACCGGTGGCAAGGCCGCCAATGCCTGCGTCATGGCAGCTCGACTCGGCCTGAGCACGCGTATCATGGCCAAGGTGAGCCATTGAGAGATTAGGGAAAATTGAACGCAACTTACACACAGCTTTACACCCACACACCCACAGATCGGTCACGACACCTTTGGCGAGGAGATGATGAAGAACTTCCAGCAGCAGAACGTCTGCACAGACTACCNAATTGAACACAGCTAACAAAGCTTTACACACACCCACAGATCGGTCACGACACCTTTGGCGAGGAGATGATGAAGAACTTCCAGCAGCAGAACGTCTGCACAGACTACCTCTTTATCACCAAGGACGCCTTTACCAGTACCGCCTCCATTACCGTCACTCGAAAAGGTTTGTGCTAAAGAAAATCATCATTTGACTGTTGTGTGACTAACTACCTTGCTCTACCAGGAGAGAACAACATCGTCTACGTGCCCGGAGCGACGAATCTACTGACACCGGAAGAGATCACCGCCGCCGCAGAGAAGGGCCTCTTCAAGGACTGTCGCCTCTTTGTGAGCACCTTTGAGTGCACACCGCCCTCGCTGCACACTGCCCTCCAGTTAGCTCGCAAACACGGCGGTAAGCTTTAAAAGGAACCAACTTTACCTGATGTCCATGTTTACACCTATTTTTCTGTCTCTACTTAGTGCCCACTCTAGTGAACGGCGCTCCGCCCTTTCCGAAGCCAATGGAGAACAGTCACATCTACCCGCTGTGCGACATTCTGTGCGTCAACGAGACGGAGGCACACTTGATGACGAAGCTGCGCGTGGACAGCATCGACGACTGCCGCATCGCCTGCAAGATGATCCTCGACAAGGGCTGCCGCTCGGTCATTCTCACCATGGGCGCCAACGGGGCCATGTTTGTGAATCGCAACCAGGCGCTGCACATTCCCGTGCCGCAGAAGATCGAGCCGGTGGACACGACGGGCGCCGGCGACTCCTTCATGGGCGCACTGGCCTTCTTCATCGTCCACTACAACCACCTGCCGATTGAGGAGCAGATCAAGCGGTGCAACCTCATCGCCTCCTACACTGTCCTCCGACCGGGAACGCAGGAATCCTATCCTTACAAGAGCGAGCTGCCCAGTGAAATTTTCATGTGACACCCCTAAAGTAGAGTACATCTTTGTTATTAGGTGTCTGTGTGGCCATCTGCAGCAAGTGTGTGTTCACTCTCGTGTTTACCTCGTCTTTTCTCCTTCTCCCCTTTCTCTTTCCGTGCTTTCACCGAAGCTTGTGGTGCCTCTCTTCTTCTTGTTACCTCTTTTGTTGTTTTTTCCGCCCCCTTCTCCTCTTCAAAAGAGCTCTACCCCCTCTTCGACGCAAGTGAAAGTTCTAGTTGTAAATTATCGGCAATCTGTTGTTACCCCCACTATACAAAACACACCCATTTACACACTTTTTCGCCAAAAAAAGAATAACGTTGCTGCTACAAGTGTTGAACATATGTTGTCACTTCTCTTTCTCTCTTTCTTTGCTCATCCTTTTATTTTGCAAAATAAAAAAATCTTTGACCTTCAACTTTGTTTCAGTATCAACAAGGTTAGTGAACTTTATTGCAATAAGAAATCGTCATAAAATATATAGTTTATCATCAACCGTGTGAGCAAAAAAGAGGAGGAGGAGGAGGAGAAGAAGGCAAAGTGTGTACAGGAAACAGTAATAAACGGACAATAGTAGAAAATACTTTGGGAAAGACTATTAACTGCTTGAGATTCACTTGAGACTACTATTGGAGCTGCCGCCAAAGGCATTGCCTGGAATGGGTATCGATTGCTGCTGTTGAGACTTGCTGCTACTGCTCTTACTGATAGCACCACCACCGCCTCCGGTTCCGCCGCCGCCACCACCTGCTGAATCGAGATTGATCTGCTTCTGAAAGTAGTACCGCAACTGGCGACTCTTGATCTTGTGGAGCTTATCGGTGGAGGCGAGGACGCCTGCTTGCAGGTTCTTCAAATCGTCCTTAACCGCCGCCAGAATGCCAATCACCTCCTCGTCCTTCAGGCTTTTCAGATCATAGATGCTACCGACACCGGCTTCCTCTAACTTGTCGCCATTGTACCGTCCCCCGCTGCCGCCCATCTTAATCGTCGGATTGTCCTCGTCCAGTAGTGATAGTTCGGTCAGTCCGCCNCCGCCAGCCGTGCGGCCTCCTCTGCCGACCGTTGCAGACTGGTTCAGCAGCGAGTCAGCGCCGCCGTCCTTTTGGCTGTAGTTGCCTCGGTTGTTGTTGCTGTTGTTGTTGTTGTTGTTTGCATTCTGCTCGTACATCTGCAGCTGAAGGTCTTCAAATGCGGCAATGTTTAGATTGTGTGAATTGGAGTAGTAGTCGCTATTGTTGTTGAAGGCCTCGTAATTGGCGGACGATGTGCTGTGAGTGCCGCCGCCGCCTCCTCCGGTGGTCAGCTTTGTAGTCGTTGCTTGGCCGTGATTGTCCACCATCATCATCTCGTCGTCGTCAAACTTCATCAGATCATCGCTCACCTTGTCCGTGAAGAGATCGGCGCCATTGCCATCCTGTGAGTGCTTCACAAACTGAATCAGGTCCGACTTTAGGCGACCCGTCTTCATCTCCGTCTCCAGGTCTTTGAGCATCTGAATGGTCAAGTTCTTAATGGAGTCCTGCTTGTTCTCGAGGTCCTCCGCCTCGAACTGGCTGAGAATGTTCATCAGGTGGAGGCTCTCGTCGGCCTTCTGTGAGCTGTTATTGCTGCCGGTGGAGTGCTGCTGCTTACTGTGGTGGTGGGGGTGATGGTGGTTCATGCACAGCAGGTGGTCAACCTCTCGCCCCGAGTTCCCTCCTCCTGAAGAGGAGTCATTGGCAGAGCTAGGTTCGTGGCCACCACCGCCGCCGCCACTGAGGTGACAGTGAGGCGTGTGGTACTGCGAGTTGACTAGACTCGATTGCTGATGATGTGTAAGCTGGTGGAGCTGATGTTGTTGCTGTGAAGGTGCTGTTTGCTGGCCGCAGAAGCAGCTGTGTCCTCCGCCGCCACCACCTCCGCCCACTGCCGAAGGAAGGCCACCGTGCTGTGTGGGCAGAGAGGCTGAAGCTCCCGGCGAGTCGCTGATCTGCTTGGCGAGCCACTCATTTTGTAGCCGCAGGCGAATCACCTCCTTCACCAGCTGATTTCGGCACTCCTCCAGGTAAGTGCACTTGTGTTGCATACGCTTCAGCCTCTCTACAAGATCACAGATAGCCACGCGAAGGGTGAACTCGCTTCCGGTAGGGTTCATCGTCGCCTAGGAGCGTAAAGAAGTGGATGGCTTCGATGTCTTTGCTGTCGTCGTCGAGTGGACGTCGGTGGCGGTGGTGCAGTAGTGGCCGAAATGCACAGGAGGGTCGAGTGAGCGAGAGGGAGATTCAAAGAGTGGTGAGATGGCGGTGATGTGATGATCACCGGGCAGGTGGTTTCATCGTGGAATCTTCAGCAATGGGAGGAAGACATTGAAAACCTCGTCTCTGCCAACATCATCGTCGGCTGCTCGAAGCTAAGTTTGCCAAGTGTCAGTGGCAGCACAAAAAATCAACAACTTCTCAGTCACTGAGACTCTCTCAGCTGTGGCTCACTTGGCGGCCGCCGCCGCCGCTGCAGACCAAAACTATTTCCACCGTGGTGAATCCCTTCTGAAGTGGCACATGTGAAGAGATTGTGGCGTGTGTTTGTGAGTTGCTCTCCGACATTTCGCCCACATTTTTCTAGTTCCCGTCGTGTGATCCAACAGCTTTCTTCTGCTGAATAAGCTCTTCAAAAGTTTTCTAGATCCCCAACAATGGTCGACGAAAATCTGCTCCTTATCGCGGTCAGAGTCACCCTCGAGGTTTGGCCGTCGTTCCAGATGGCCATCAGCAACGGCATGGGCGGCCCAAATGTCAAAGAGAAGATCGAATGGCTGGCCAAAATGGTTGTCAAACTGTTCAGTGACAATGCAGACGGGACTGTCCTTCCAGATGACGTCCTCGAGTACCTGGACACTGTGTTGGACAATGAATTTGACACCGTCATCGACGATGGCTCCGCAGAAATGGTCAGCCAGAGTATTGTCGCCTACTACAATCGCATCTGTGCCGGTGAAACACAGTTTGTGCTTAACAAAATGGAAGAAGTCCTAAAAAAGAATGCGCAGAGGAAGGAGCAACTTCAACAAGCTTCAACATCGGGGCAGTTTGAGGTGACACCAAAGAGCACTTCCACCGTCAAATCCAGCCAAACCAATGCTTCTGAAATGATGGACACCGAGGATGCTAATGGTGAGGCGGTCGTCGATGACGGCTGGACGGTGGTGAAAAGAAAGAAGTGATTCAAAAATCAAAAGAAGCTTCATTTTTTATTCTCGCCATTCTTTGTACAATCTCGAAGTACCTTAGAGATCGACACTTGAGATGAACTGTAAATACCCATTTCTTTTGGAAAGTAAATCATGGAATCTATTCGCCACTTTATTTGTCATAATGCTCTTTTGTCTCCTTTGGTTCTTTCAACGACAAGTACATGTTACTCTCGGTTCTTGTTCTGGTGATGAAAGTGTTTGAGATCAAGCACCATCACGTGATCATCTTGAGTTCAAGTGGAGAGCTAGAGTGGAGAGTCAAAATAGACTGCAGCTGCTGCTGCTGCAGAGGCAAAGCTGCAGCCTCTTCACTTGAATTCGCCTCACTTCTTAACCTTGCACCTTCTTCATCTGCTTCCACTTATCACACCTACTGCCAAAAGAAAGAGGAGAATCGGTGATGTCGTCTGCTGTTAAGTAGAAGCTCAACTTGAATCCTCGCCCAGAAGACGCCGTCCCCACTTAACCAATCACTCAACCAGTCGATCGACCATCGACAGCTTACCCAATCTATCTGCATCTTGGTTTTTATTTATTGTTTTTAAATGTTCCAGTGCTAGAGAATGCTCACCACTAGTGCTGCAGCAGTATTCAGTTGTGTTTTTGTTCTGAGAACGTCCGGTGCGTGGTGATTTGTGAGTGTTTCAGTCACCGGGAGCCGGCTTTTACCCTCTTCCCATGTTTTTAAATGGCTGCCGGCCTTTATGACATTACCAATGAAACACTTGGAAAGGGCCACTTTGCGGTGGTGAAGCTCGCCAAACATTGTCTGACAGGTGGGTGACCAGCAAACCTACTGATTGAGTGTGGCTTTATTCCCAATGACTGGTTTTTTGTTGCAAAACAGGAGAGCATGTAGCCATCAAAATCATCGACAAGGCAAAGCTGAACAAGGAGGGCCTTGATCAGCTGAGCAGTGAAATCAGACTGTGGTCCATACTGTCAGAGCGGGAACACCCTAACGTGGTGAAGCTGTACCAATGCATCGATACTCGTACCAAATTATATCTAGTCATGGGTAAGTTGATGAGACCACAAGTTCTGTTCTAATTTGTTTTGTATTTTTTCAGAATATTGTGGCGGGCAGGTGTGCGATCTGTACGACCACATACAAAAGAAGAACGACGGGAATGGCCTAGCTGAAGGTGAAGCGAGAAGTATATTTCGCCAAGTAAGCTTTTTGCAATCTATTTAAAAAGTGCCACTTCCTAACAAAAAAAACCATTGCCTCTAGGTCTGCAACGCCATACTCTACTGCCACTCACTGAAGATTGTGCATCGTGATTTGAAGCCGGAGAACATTCTGATCATCAGCAATAATCAGAGTTCCAGCAGCAGCAACAACAACAACAATAATGTGTCGGAAAGCAGCAGCTCAGCAGCAGCAGTTTACCCCGTGGTGAAGTTAATTGACTTTGGCTTCAGCAATCAGTGGGCAGAGAGTGAACTCTTTCGCACGTCTTGCGGCTCACTCGCATACTCAGCACCGGAGATTCTCTTGGGTACTACTCTATTTTGATGCTTTCCTTTTCGCTTTGACTAATCTCTTTATGCCCAATATCAGGCAACCAATATCAGGGATCAAAAGTGGACATCTGGGCACTGGGATGCATCCTCTACATCATCCTCTACGGCTGCAATCCCTTCATGCAGTTCAATGACAATGAAACGCTAATCAAAATTCTCGATTGCTCATTTACCACTCCGGAAAGGGCCACCGTCAGCCAGTCCTCGATCAGCCTGATCAACGGACTGCTGAAGAAGGAGC